GTCTGAAGTAATTCCAAGACTGGATCGACTAAGACTTTGTAACGATGGGGCACTAAAGGTACGGTCCCATACAAAAAATACACACATGATTTTTTTCCTACTAAACTATTAGATTGATGTCAATATGTGATATGACAATATTTAATTGGGACAATATAATCTCCCGATTGGTATTTTTTTAGAGAGGTATCGTGAAAAAAATCCAATGTCCGCAATATCGCTGATCCGACTCACTGTGTCGCAAAGTTAAGGTAAATGTAGTGTACCTGCCTGTCCTCAATTACGTCAATTTTTAATGTACTTAAGTGATTTCCCGACTCCCGAAAAGGTCCAGGACCTAAAAAATATTGTCGTCAGGCAGTCTCCATTTTCTGTCTATGTTCCTCGGAAGTTTAGTTAAAAGAACTTTACCTTTTCCGATCCCTGATGATGATTGAAAAATAATGTTAAACAAAGTAATGAAAATAAAGAGTATCCTATGTAGTGATTAAAAATATATAATTTTAGATTATTGAAAAAGAACAGACAATAAAAAGGCAAAGGTTTGGTTTTATTTATACACGTTTTATTTTTTAAATGGGTACAAAAAGATAATGGACCTTCATCACATCATCATTGCCCACTTAGGCGAAATAAAAATATTTCAACACCCACCACCACAAATAATAATTGAAAACACGTTATATTAACACAAACAATCACAAAGACAAAATGTATCATAATATATTTGCAGTATAGTTTATATAGATAATTCAGGTTTTAGGTTAGCCACCCCCTGGATAGCATCAACGCCTCCAATTGCTTCCGAGGCCCTACCTTACTCTTCAGTGCTCACTGGGGAGGATAGGGAGCACATTGGGAAACTATAATCTATAATAATAGAGTCTAAAAACGCTGCTGCAGGATGGCTAATGGTGTCATAGCGCGCCCATCCTAGAAACCACATAATAGACATTATACATGAGCATGAATCCAAAATACGTCTCCCGTTTTTACATGAACAATAATAATGTTCCAAAACTTCCAATATCTGTTTAATTTTATTAAAATATACATATAATAACTGCCTCCGTAGCCGAACGGTTACCATGCCGGACTGCCACGCAGAGGTCCCAGGTTCGGTTCCCGGGCCGGGAGAAATATTTGTATGGCCTACATTTATTTCTCTCGTGAGTTTGGGTGTAACACAGGGTTTCCCTAGTGCGGGGCTATGTTGAGTGTGTGCGTTATTTTATTTATTTATTTAAAAATAAGTGCGATTTCTCGTATGTCTTATTTTCTTCTTCCACTTAGTAGCCAGAAGTTATAACCAGCTACTTTATAATTACTCAAAATATTGGGTAGATCTTCAGTATCTGTACATACTTCAATTGTACAAATTCCATTTGTACAATATTCTGCGTAATAACTTCTGGCAAGTTTTATTTGATACGTCTCTAATGAAAATATTTTCAAGTCGGTCTCTATCAAACGGGGAGAATCATGGAGTTTTGATAATTCTGAAGACATACTTTGAAAATGCACACATCTAGTGTTGCGGCTTTCGCCAATTACGTATTCCTTATTGACGCTGATGTCATCGACACGACAGCCGACCCTCATGCTGCTGAGCTCAACGATCAAGTCATTAACGTATAAGTTAAAAAGCCTTGGCGAGATCAGACCCCCTCCAAACTGCCTCACCCCTCACTTTTTTTTTTTTTTTTTTTTTTTTTATTGTGACTCGGCAAAATGACTGCACCGCGCCTGATGGAAAGTGCGAATACAGTCCAGAGATGAGAGTAACGGATGGAAAACACAAATATCTTCACTCCGTCACTATCATTTTGCCGGTCTGGCCAAATGCTTCTTCACACAACGTTTTCAAGGACCCGATGTTATAGAGGGGAGGGAATACATGCGCCGGGAGTTGGTTCCACAATTTGATGGTTCGGCATAAGAACGAATTGCCAAACTTTTTAGTGCGGGACGGTATTGAACTGACCGTCCAACTGTGGCTACGCAGTCCGGCACGGGTGGTCCGCTGATGGAAAGGAGAGGAAGGGATAAGGTTGAATAACTCTTCTTGAATAACTCCAACCGGAAAGTGTCAGAGAGCTTATTCGCCCTAATAATAGTACAAAATATTTATAAACATGATTTTGACCGGAATTTGGTACGATTTTTATGTAACAGTAGAGCTCCTTGTGAAGAAGCTCGTACAGGGAAGTACTGCCACCTTACCTATTTTTGTCGCCAAGTAGTAATGCGAGCATTTCCACAATTTGGGCACATTCAGCTCCCTCAAGTCTTTAACGGCTCTATCCTTCCAGTGATATCTCGAACGCTTCTCTGGACGATGCCTCGGTAAATGATATTATTCTAAATATACATATATCGTGGTGTTACCACCGTCCTTGTATGCGTAACCTGTATGATTTTCGATCTGAATTACCTGCCCAATCACCATCTATATACATCTCTAAACAAAGTGTGAAGGTGTCAAATACTAAACATAAATGCTTAGTACCCTTACGATGTTTAATTATACTCTTAGCATGGTTCCATTATTTAGTAGTATAATAATTTTCTGAGTTATAAGACCTCCGCGCCCTACACGCGGAGAATTGGGAGGAGATCGCACGGACTTTCTTTGTCACACATTCGACAAATGGAAGTCCCTTCCAGCGCACGTATTCCCTCCTTCAAATGAGGCGTGAAAAGGCATCTTGTGCATGCATGGTGATGTTCTTTTCTGTCCCGTTAAAACAAATAAAGCCAATCTGCAAAATTCATAAAATATACAGTGTACAGTTGCACTGTAAAATATACAGTTACACTTTCTCCATATTTAAGAAATTTTTAATAGAAATAATGCTAAATCATCTAAACATACATGTCCGTAAATCGTATGCACCGCGCTCGGGCAGTGACCCCGACACCCGCTTCACTTTTTTTCGACAACTCTTCGACATTTGTAATCTCCTCAGCGTAAACAAAACTTTTCACACCACCCCATAAGTAATAGTCTCGCACTTGATGGTACTGCAGGTTCTGGTGAACATGGTAGCGGTTCTTTTTTTGCACTAACTGTTGTTTACATACCGAACCACGTGGCGTTTCGCGAGAAACTAGATCACTAGAATTGCAGCGGGTTCAGCAACCCCACTGATCCGAGTACGTGAGCGAGCGCACTGATTAGTCGCGTGCGCTTAATGTGTTTGAGAAAGGGATAACAACACTTTGAAGCTTCCTTTGTCGGCCCGCTGCTAAGCAATCTGTGCCGCTGCGCCATAAGTTTTGTCCTGAAGACCTTTGGATCATGTGATTGCGAATCGATGTTTACCCCAATTAAATAAAAAATAAGAATTTAGGACACTTTTTTGCTTTTAATTTTTCCCTCTATAAACATGGCCAGAATATAAATCAACACATTGTGGAAAAAACTGTTTATTTATTTGCTTTGAGACCCGGAACTGTAATCAGTAATACGTAGAATTCATTCGTCAAAGGTCATTATGATCAGTCCCATATACATATTTTTTGTTTATCGAACCCTCCCAATCAAACTTGGTTATACGGGAAGAGCACTACAACCTGTGCAAGCAAGCCTGCTCAGTCAGTTCCTGACCCCAAATCAACCCGTTTAACTTCCAGACACCATATGCCAGCCCTTTCTCCAGGTAGGTTCCGGAACTGTTGGTACGCTCACTTCCCGTTGCGCATTGTGTAACTGACTGGTGCCACCGCTAAGCCGTTGACTCTAAAGTTCATTACCAAATCTCCTCTTTGGTGGCGGAGCTGTAGGCTCACTCATCTCCCGACGCTGAAGCGTCTCTCCAGTTCCCAGAAACCTACGCGGCGGGGAGCACCAGAGGATATTTTGCTCATCCTCTACTAGCACTGCGGGCTATTGCCGGAGATGTTCGTTGCAGTGTCCTGTGTCAATGTCTGGACCTAGCTTCATGGCTTAGAGGGCAACTCATGTGCCCCGACCACGTTTTTCCCTCACATTGACTTGGTTGGTTCAGGTTACGCCCTGAATAACTGAGCTTAATCCCGTCTGCACATATTTCAAACTGTTAGTATGAATTTGCAAAGTCCTCGAAATTCGATAGCATAAGTTGCTCTAGCCGGCTCACGGTTTTAATTACTCAAGCTACCACGGATCAATAACAGATTTACCAAATAATTTATTTAAACTAATTACCAACAAATTTCACTGTAATTGTTAAATTACCAATATAATAACCAATATTTCGTTATTCAATAATACTAATTTATCAAAACCCCATTCAGCGTCAACTCAATATATCATCAACCCTTCTACCCAGTGCTTGTTTTACATTGTTTTTTGTAGAATGACGGAAAACAAAACGAAAGACTTTTTTTTCTTCATCGCCCAAAAAGTTTATCTATTAGGCGCACCGAACTATTGGTCTGAAGACTTAAAACTCTCGAAGTCAATTTACAAAATTCATGACAATTTGTTCTTGTTAATAGATTTCATAACAACTCTGTTCATCGGCTCAGAGTGGCTTGCGTTATTCACTCAAAATAATTTAAGTTCCAAACAGAGTGATGACATGTTCCTTTTTGCATGCTCCCATCCAATTCTACATACGTACTGCTTTATTATGAGGTTTCATAAAGAAAAGACGAGGTAAGAATCTAAACGCACTTCTTGTACGCCAGGGTAAGTTCTAAAAAAAATTATTGATGAGATTGAAACTTACACGAATAAAATCAGTGGCTTTTGCCTTTCTTCGTTGCCTCAGAAATAACTTAGCTTATTATTTGTGAGCTGTAATGGAATTGATGGTAGTGAGCCCTAATGTATATATTAACGATACACCTGACTCGTCTCATTGCCGAACAAAAAATGCACAATCGAAAACCACAAAAATTTTGAAATCGGCAAAAGATAATGGTGTTCGCAGATGACAGACAATCGAGAACTAATTTTTAAAAAGCAATTAACAATATAAATTCTACACTAACAACGCAGACGTCCCACAAGAAAATCGGTGCTACCGAAAACAGTCTATTATCGGATGACCATATTTTTATTAGAGGTAAAGATATAAAGACGTTCAAAAAAAAGAGAGCTTTTACAGGACGTCTAAGTTGAGTTGCATTTGCATATAATAATCGGCCTTTTAAAAGTCTAACGAGTGAGGACACGGTCGACTAACGGCCGACTCATAAATTTTAATGTAGGCTTGAATGCTGTTAGAAACGTTTAATAAGGGCCATTGGCAAATTGTGTAAGTTAACATTTAACAAAGTACATTTTTCTTATAGTGACATATTACTACAGCTGACAATCAATTTGAAGAATAAGTTTAACGACCACGAGGTGGAACGACAGATGATCAGGCGGTCAAAGATCTACACAACAATATTCATGTTTTTGGTCTGCATTACGTTATTTGGTTACGGAGCCAACTCTCTCTTCACTGGTAGTACTTTTTTGTTTTTAATGAGGTACAGTAGGGTCATCCGAATATTTTCTCCCTGAGCTGCATCCCATATGAATATTACCGAGGAAATAATAGTATTAGAATCCCAGCTGGCCCAATGTAGTAGGCCGAGAGTAGAGATATAATAGACAATACTCACGAGAGCATTACATAATACCTATCCCCCTTTCAGATGGCACGTTCACGACAGTAATAACTGCGTGGCCCGACGTCGAGGATCGGAGTTTCTTTGCCGGTTGTGTTAGGATTATCACCTACATTCTTTGGTGGATTTTTGTTGTCAGGTTTGTTTATTTATTTAACTTTGGTTGCCAATCAAACTACTCCTATTCCAAATACTAAGCAATGAATAGAACGAAGTTTTTGTTCAATAAATAACAATTATGTAAAAATGTAGTGATACAGTACTTAATAAAATCTTGGGAAAAATGTTTCCAAAAACATTTTATAGACCGCAAGAAGTGATCAAATGTTAGTGATTGTTTATATTGTCAATGTATATTCGAATCTTCTACCTGGAAGTGTACCAGAACCCTAATATGCTAAGAGTACACGGCGTATTCCATACGCGCCGTAGTGAGTCGATTCAAACGCGCGCAAACATCGCGTTGTAAGCAAGAAACTTATATACTCCACTAGAGTTTACACTTACAATTTCATGTAGTAGCTTCATTTCAAAAACTGACTGGAACTAACAAACAAAACTAAAATTAAAACTATCTCTTATCAAAATGCACGATACATACGCGCGGCTACAGCGAGTCTGCGGCGCGTATAAAATACGACGAGTGCATAGGCTCTAACTTCCGTATCAGCTTCACTGACATATAAACGTGGCGATATATATGTAGGTACCTCCAAAATCTTTTTTTGTACAACAATTTTCCAACTTCACGGTTTTTTTCTCGATTTCCTTTCAGAATGATGTGCGCCTTCTGGGTAATAATTCCCGTGACAATTTTGCTAAGTCATCAATTCAAGAATCTGAAAAGTTACTTCTGTAGTTTGCCAGAAATATTCGAAGATGGAGACAGCCAGGCGGAGAAGGAAAAGAAATATATAGAGGCTTTTAAATTAGGAATTAAATGGCATGCTGATACATTGAGGTAAAAGCCACACGCATGTGTAGGTATTAGTATAGTTTTTACAACACACAAACCGACAAACAGTCGACGACGTACTTGTCGTTAAGTGATTATCGTTGTGAAAGTACTTATTACTTCTCTCAAACATGCTCAGAATAGTTTGGATCACTTTCAAAAAAAGAAACACGGAAAGTTTTTCATTTATGGACTGGACCTCGTGCGACTTCGAGGCCAAGGCCTGTACAGTATGAAAATCCATTACTGTCCGCTACTCTAAACTTTTAAATCTATCTACCATTATGAACTATGTATACAGGCAAGAGAAAAACTCTTAGGTTCAACTCCCACTGGCCAGAGTCGAAGCGTCGCGACGCGTCATGTTTCTCACTTATAAGCATATGCATCTCTATTTTCCCATTATTAAGGTACAAATTTGTGTTATGCAAATATGGATTTGCCGTCGTATGCAATCGTCCACGCGCGTCGCCGTGCGCTTCTTGCGCGTGACGCCTCAGACGCGTCAGACGCCGACTACACTGTGATCCGGGCGCACTATTGTGAGCGCGTCGCCTTGCGTTATAGTTGTAAAACAGGACGCGACGCGACGCTTCGACTCTGCGCCAGTGTGAGTTGAGCCTTACAGTCAACTGCCCGGTGTTCATAATTGCGGGAATTATAAACGCCTAACTGTATCGCTTTCCTTTTTAAAAAAGAAAAAGTCGGTGAAGTAAGTGCTTTGATGTTCTTTTTCGTTTTTTCGTCGTTTTGTATTTACGTCGCGAAAATGAGATCTAGTGACAAGTGCGATAACGAAAATACAGTAATGGATTGTACTCCGTCTAATTTAAAACAAGAGTCAATATTAGCCAAATGTCAAAAACTTTATTAAGTATTAATGAATACTTTTTTACTTTTTCTATTATATGTCTTCCGTTCTTTAGTCTTTTATTATTTCCTGACATTGTTTGGGAAAAACACTATATACGCCTTGGCGGGAGCTGGGGATTGCTTGATTCGTATTAATACAAGGCCTCGATGTAACTCTTAACTCGTCCAGCAATAATGTAAATCTACTGTATTAATAAATATTGCTTGAGCTATCCGCGATTATGCACTGTTTGTCACAATTTCTGTTTATTAATAAGCATCACTCAGCACTTAAATTACGACTCAAGATCGTGTTAAGAAGTAAGGTCACCTGATATTGTCCAATTACTGTCAAATAAGTAATACCCGACTAAATTAAAAAAAGCATGATGCGAGTGAAGCTCAATACTTGACATTGTATTTTAATATGGCCGAGTATTACTTATTTGACAGCAATTGTTTCGGCCGGAGAACGAGAGTGGAACCCCTGTTCTTAGAAGCCGAGGATTATGTCAATACAAAAGTGCCTGAGATGCACTTTGAGAAACCAGTGCCATCTCAGACTTCGAAATCGTTTATTAATATTGGCACCTATTAGTTTCATTTCTCGGTACCAATTGTAATCATTATCACTACACCTACATACATCTGCAACAGGGCTCGTTCAAACTGAAATATTAACTTAATTCACAAATTACAATAATTCCAGATGCACCAGACTATGCCAAGATGCGTTCTATTTTGTATACAGTGGACAAATTTTACTGAATATTTCAGTTATAATTATCATCATGTTCCAGTTTATGGTAAGTTTTAGTGTAGCCACAGATTACTTAACAGTTACTACGTAACAAATACATCTCTCTTATACAAAATCGAAAATAACTACGCTGTAGTAGCCTACTAAATCCGACTAATGACACCAGGCGCTCACTACGAGGAAAAAGGAATCTAAGCATGCGCTCAGAAAAGTGACAATAACGTTGCCCGCCGCGCCGTATGCAGTCGTGCGGAACCGAATGCTCATAAATTAAAGACTTGTATGAGCTCTTGCGCCGACGTCGGCGCAGTCAGCGGCAGGCCCATATTGCGTAACCTCGAGCGAATGACGGAACCCTAGTGTAATCAAGTTACCTTCTTATATGTGAAATAGAATTGAATTTAAATCAAGAGTATAAAGGGCGACTTGCCGTCATCTGTCAAATTTAGTAGCAGTAGAGCTCCTTACAAAAGAGTTCGTCTAGTGAAACACTGTCACCTTACCATTCCTGCCACCAAGCAGTAACGTGAACGTGAAGGGTGCTGGTAAAACTAGAGATACTTGGTACCTGTCAACTTCATTTCCCATGGTGGGGGCGCAGGGAAAATACCCCTTAGAATTTAAAAAATGTACATTTTACAAATCTTAGTATTTTAAAGTTCTGAGTCACGGTACTTGTTCGTCCCATCACTTGATAATGATAAAAAATACAAAATACTCAGAACCATGACTCAATATTCACGGCCAAACTTTTATACGAGTATAATATTTTGTATTCAACTCAATCGAGTTGGTCATTTTGAGTTCTTACTTCCTATCTTCACATATGACATGTAACACTTAACAACTTTTGCTAGAAATAAAAACGCTGCAACAGAAATTGTAAGCACAAAATTTTATTCGTACAAAATTATTCTTTGAAAGTTTTCTTGTAGTTTTTGTACAAATCAGTCAGATTTATATTTGCAACTTAGAAACAACAACGATAGAAATCGTATTCCAGACATCCGAGCGGACGTTCATGAGCGCGTTGGAAAAGTTGTGCACGTTCTCCTCCACACTGATAAGCACGGGCTGCCTCATGTGGAACGCCGGAGACGTTACTGTCGAGGCGAGTACAGATATCATTTTACGGCCAGTACACACCGAATACGGTTTATGAAGGTAAACCCACAAAACCCGACGCGAATTTTGGAAATCGTTTAAATTTCAAGTTTTGGTCTATCTAACTAGATATACCGATCAGCGGGCCTACCATAACCTTTCAAAAAACAATCTTATTTCAAGTAAGCTTATTATAATATTACTCATACTCGTACCATGACAAACCTGTCAACCAAGTAATGTATTATTGCTAAAGTCACTGAAATAACGAATGATTTCCCAATATTGTCTATTCCTTACTAAAAATAGGAAAGAAATAACGCTATATGAACTGTATAATGCCATCTCTTTATTTTTTGATGTTACGAATCGTCCTATCGTAGTACAATGTTAAAGTATTTAATATTATTTACATTCCAAGAATTTTAACCGCCAAAAAAAGAAAAGTATGTAATAATGAAATCTATTAAAATTACGTTGTTTTCAATTATTTTTCCGCATTTTCATGAAGAAAAATGAATAAAACAAGCTGAGTCTTGATTGTCACGTTGTGAATTCGGAACTATAGTCTAGTGTCAACTGTTAGATTCGCCAAGAAGCACAAGGATATCGCTGTCATAATTTTACGAAATAAACATCGCGTATTTTTATTTAACAAGAAATTATTTTCTATGTGCTAATAAATAAAAAATAAACAAAATATTGAAGAGATATATGAAAATAAAACTGTAAAACTGAAAATAATATTGTTTCCATTGCATAATGTAACTATTTTAAGATTGCTAAATTTGACATAAGAGCAATTGTCATAGTACGAACGAGTGAATGAATAGTCACGAAGCTGCCAATGAAACATCATAGTCTTAACATTAGAATAAGCTTACTTTAAGCGCGTTATGGTACGAAAAGTCAATGTAAGGTTAAAGTAATATTGTTTTAAGAGGTTGTGGTAGGCCCCAGGTACATATTGTGTCGTCTACGCTACTTTGTACAGGGATACTTCAATAAAACAACGTTCGGTTAGTTAACGTGTGCGTGCAATACGTTCACGCCGATATCTAGCGGAGTAATGGCGAGAGGGTCAGAGCGTTTCCTTTATTTGCTATACACCACACGTATACCGTTTACAATAATCGTTTCAACTATTTCCCGATTATATACGGAATGATCTTAGTAAAGATGTACCGTCCGTATCTTAAAGTCCCATAGTAACGAATCTTATAAAACTTGACATCAATTTACAGTGCTTTAATTAGCACAATAATTGTGCATAATGTGTTTCTGTAGGCGGCCGAGTTACCAACGGCGATGTTTCAATCCGGCTGGCATAACTGCAGAGCACAGGCCTCACGTCGCATCAGACCCTTGCTGGTCGTTGCCATGTGGCAGAGTCAGGTTAATTCATTACATCTGGAATGTCATGTATTTTGTTTGATAATCTTTGCTTCGTGGAGGATTCGAATATGACGTTTTTTTAAATATTAACCGTAGTCATTTGCACGTAAGTTTGGACTGAGGGTTGTCACATTCACTGTATTAACACTTGTAATGTTTTAGTGATAAATCATTAATCAGTTTCACAGTCAGTTTTAGGCTCCGCTTTGAGCTGTTATTTCAAATTTGTATACATACATACATACAAGCAAAGCAGTTCACAGAAACAGCACCCAAGTCCTCACACTCCATTTCTTCCTTCAGTAAGATCGCACAAATCTCGATATCAAACCGAATGTCAGTCAAAGTAAGGATTGCATAAAAATTGACTACACGACCAAGTTATTCTGAATCTTGAAATACAAAACAAAAGTTTTTTTTAATTTACACTTGTAACTAAAATATGTCGATCAGTTTTAATAACGCCAAAGTGTATTATACAAATGTCAGAGATTAGAAAACAAAATGCTAGGGATTTAACACTAAGAAAATTGCGTAAGTAACGATAAAACTTAGTTCTCCCTCTTTTACAGAAGCCTGTAAAACTTCGATGTCTTGGAATAATTAACATGTCGTACGAATCTCACTTATCGGTTGGTATCTGTACATTTAAAAGTGGATTATGTAGTTGTTGATACAAAAAGAAAACAATATCCGTAATTAAATTTGTTTGTTTCAGATTGTCAAAACGTCGTATTCTGTAGTATCTGTACTATATTAAATAAGTTATTTTATATTTCACACCACTATTTAGGCATTTTTATATTTTTCTTGATAACAATAATTCTGCTCTCCTTGTCATAGGTAGCTATAGTCGTCACAATTTAAGAGGCTCAATTTGACAACTAAGGAAGATGGTATGTAACTTTGAATGCAATAAACAAACAATTATTAACTTTGAGTTAAAAAAATACATTAATATTAGTGAAGCATTACATGACAGAACAAATTTCAAGTATTATTTTCGCACAAATTTCCAAATAATTTCCAATTTTAAGTTAGTCCGAAACATCTTAAAAACAGTTACGTCCTCAGTTTTATTTATTTATTTTTTATAATTCAAATTGTACCCAATCAATCTTCACCGAGTCAATTCAATTTCACTTTTTAAAGTGAAATATTGACTTAATATTGACTTTTTGATTTTGATTTTGACTGAGATATTAATATTTATCATAAGATTGGAAATCAAATATTATACGTACACTTGATACCAACTCAACTGATGATTTTGGCTCATCTTCCGATGAAAGTGAATAAAAATTTAAACTATGAAGTATTTATGGTTTTTCTTCAGACGTTAACTACTACTATTTAACTACAGGGGGGCCTACCATAACCTTTCAAAAAACAACCTTATTTCAATGTAAGCTTATAGTAAGCTTATTATAATATTACTCATATTCGTACCGTGACAAACTTATCAACCAAGTAATGTATTATTGCTAAAGTGACTGAAAGAACGACAGATTTCCCAATACTGTTTATTCCTTACTAAAAATAGGAAAGAAATGACGCTGTATGAACTGTATAATGCCATCTCTTTATTTTTTGGTGTTCCGAATCGTCGTATCGTAGTGTAATAATGCTAAAGTACTTAATATTATTTACATTCAGAGAATTTTAACTGCCAAAAAATGAAAAGTGTGTAATAATGAAATCTATTAAAATTACGTTGTTTTCAATTATTTTTCCGCATTTTCATGAAGAAACCTAAATAAAACAAGCTGAGTCTTGACTGTCACGTTGTGAATTCGGAATTATAGTCTAGTGTCAACTGTTAGTTTCGCCAAGGAGCACATAGATATCGCTGTCATAATTTTACGAAATAGATATCGCATATTTTTATTTAACGATAAATTATTTCCTATGTACTATTAAATTAAGAAATAAACAAAATATTGAAGAGATATATGTTAATAAATAAGTTCAACTTAACTGTTAATCATTACAAATCAATATTAAGACAACAAAACTGAAAATAATATTTCCATTGCATCCGTGTCAACTATATTAAGATTGCTAAATTTGACATAAGAGCAATATTACTTTAAGAGAGAGCACGCCAAAAAAGTTTTAACGTTGGCTCCGCCCAAATTTGTGAAACAAATATACGCCTGAAGTTCACGTGACATACGACAGATGTTGAATTTTGCGCATTAAAAGTACCAAATTCGTTTTAGCGGAATAACTCTAAAACTAAAGGGATTAAAAAATCCGTAGTGACAGTTGTCGATCATGCATAAATATAATTATCTAATTTTTGTCCTAATAACCTGTAGCATTTCGAGGATAAATCGAAAAAATGTGAAAATTAGAGGTCATTTCGTGATTTTTATCTATCGAGGAAACTTTATTGTT